TTTTTTACTATCACAATGTTAGCATTTATGAAAACTGCATTATTTTTTTTTAAAGTAAATATGTCGATTAAAAAAGATTTATTACGAACTTAATAACACATTAACCAGTCCAATATGGTGATATTCACATGAAGAACGGAGGCCAGCTGTCTTTACTCAAAATGACTGACATGTTTTCAGATGCATGTCAAGTGTTTTTACAATATCAGCCACTCCGGTATTAGTCTAGAAATTACATAAGAGTTCCTTAATCAGCAGATCAACATATCTTGTTAGAACAATAAAACTTGTGTCATGCTATTCTTCTCTGCCATCTACACATTTGAAACTTGAAATTAATTTCATTAGGTATTATTGTTTAAGAGTTTGCATGACGAAGTAACAATAATAAAAAAAAAATGTACCGGTAGATGTTGGTGGTAGTAGATATCTACATGGTGTAGACCAAACTGGTGTAGTCAAACATGAACAAGATCAAGAACCACAATGGAAACCATTACACTAACCCACTCTCTCATCATTAATGATTAAATTGGTAGGCATACATACCACCTATGCCCTTCAAATTAGCCTCATTGTATACTACTAGTTTTTAAAGCAAATTCAGTTATTATGGTGTAGACGTCTGTTCAAGCACTTTAAAAGTGCTTGAACAGACGTCTACACCATAAAATCGGGCTGAAAATTATAGTTCTTGCGCAATTTTTTCTGGAACTCAAATTTAGCCACCACTACGACTGCTTTGGGTGCTGGAAGAGTAAAATATGTTGTTGGCATGACCCATTAATATTGCTCCCATCAACAATTCTCTCTTGACTGAGATAATATTGGAATTGTTAAAGTGTCATGTACAGACTTATACACAAGTCATATCAAGGTAACCACAGTAATTTTCCTATTTTTTCATTTGCAATAACCAACATTGATATAGGGTGGCAAGTAAGCATTTATTAGTTTTGTGTCTAAGGCAGTCTATAAAATACGGTAGCATCAATGTGTCTCTCATTTGATCCATCCTGATAATGTTTAACATCTTCCGACAATTGAAAGTGTTGACCTTGGTATCTGTTCCCTAATCAATAACCAACTCTTTAAACTGCATTCTCCAAATGGATGTGCCCATGTGCCATAGATGACTTGATTTTTCCAAAAGATAATATCTATCACAGACACATGGTTTATTGCCAAATTTCTTTCGATGTCATATTAATTGGTTTTGGTTTGTTCTTTTAATAGTTTGCACTACACTAAATCTTGAACATCATATCTGTCGAATTTTTAACAAAATTGGACTGTTTTATCTGGTTTGTAATCGTTAATCTGTGTCTTTGATGCTGTCATTATTTATTATTGATATATTGATCATGTTAAACTCTAACCATTAGCAAAGATAAGGAAACAACCTCTGTCTTTGTTCCATTAACTTGATACGTTGTCCCCAATCACACAAGTATATTTTGGTATTGCCAAATGGTAAAAATACCAATGAAGTAGATCCAACTCTTATTTTTTGGAAGAATAACCCATAGTGAACAAAACAGTAGTTTGCGCATTCCTTGTTCTACTGTCTTTGCCGATACCTCCTTGCCCTGTGCACCTAATTGTGACCTCTTCCTTTAGAAGTAATTGA